GAGGAAGAGGCGTGGACTCCAGGGGCTGTTTTGCTCAACCGGGGGTCGGCATCCCACCCCTGCGAACTTTGGACCCTCCCGCCCCACCCCAGCGGGGTTGCAAGACTCCATCGTACCCCTTGGGCTTCCGCTACCGGAAGGCAAAGCAGATAACCTTCAAAGGCAGGTGGCAATGTCAGGTTTGAACCCCACAAATGCGAGGGTGGAGAGTCAGAGTGAACGCCAAGGGAGCCTAGGGTTGGGGTGGGGCTGCTGGGGTAGAGGGACCCAGGCCCAGGGGACCCCCGCCCCGCCAGGGTCAGGAAGCTTGGAAGAGCGCAAGTAAAATAGCTACATGTCTGGGAGGGTTTTCCAAAATAGCAGCCCTCCTCTTGCCCTGACCAGGCTTTCCCAATCTGGAATACCATACACACACCTACATATATGTGTATGTGTGTGTGTATGTGTGTATATATACATATGTATGTGTGTGTGTGTATATATATATATATAAATGTATTTCAAAATGGGAGGTCAAAAATATATATTTTTTGGGGACAGGGTCTCAGTGGCCCAGGCTGGAGGGCAATGGAGCGATCTCGGCTCACCGCAACCTCCGCCTCCTAGGTTCAGGCAATTCTCCTGCCTCAGCCTTCCGAGTAGCTGGGATTACAGGCACGCGCCACCATGCCCAGCTAATTTTTGTATTTTTAGTAGAGACGGGGTTTCACCATGTTGACCAGGATGGTCTCGATCTCTTGACCTCGTGACCCACCCGCCTCGGCCTCCAAAAGTGCTGGGATTACAGGTGTGAGCCACTGCGCACAGCCTAACTGCAGCTTCTAACTCCTGGGCTCAGGACATCCTCCTGCCTCAGTGATCAGTATTGGGTACCCATATCCAGGACCACAGGCCTGTGTCACCAGCCCCGGCTAATTAAAAAAAATTTTTTGCCGGGCGCGGTGGCTCAAGCCTGTAATCCCAGCACTTTGGGAGGCCCAGGCGGGTGGATCACGAGGTCAAGAGATCGAGACCATCCTGGTCAACATGGTGAAACCCCGCCTCTACTAAAAATACAAAAAATTAGCTGGGCATGGTGGCACGTGCCTGTAATCCCAGCTACTCAGGAGGCTGCAAAACTCCGCCTCAAAAAAAAAAAAAGAAAGAAAACTATTTAGTGCTATTCTTTATTGTGTTTCTAAGGATTTTAGAAAATAAGCTGTTTATGTGGAATTTATTTCAAAATGGGAGGTGAAATAAGAATATAAATTGGGCCAGGCACCGTGGCTCTTGCCTGTAATCTGAACACTTTGGGAGGCTGAGGCAGGAGGATTGGTTTAGCCCAGGAGTTCGAGACCAGCCTAGGCAATATAGCAAGAACACTGTTTCTAAGATATGTATATATTTTCCCTATTTTTTTTTTTTTTTTCAAACAGGGTTTTGCTTTGTCTCCCAGGCTAGAGTGCAGTGGTGCGATCACGGGTTACTGTAACCTCTGCCTGCCAGGCTGAAGTGATTCTGCTCCCACCTAAGCCTTCAGAGTAGCTGAGACTGCAGGCATGAGCCACCACGCCCAGCTAATTTTTGTAGTTTTTGTAGAGACGGGGGTCTCACTATGTTGCCAAGGCTGGCCTTGAATGCCTGTGCTCAAGTGATCCACCTACCTCGGCCTCCCAAAGTGCTGGAATTGCAGGATGGAGCCATCAGGCCTGGCCCTGTTTCCTCTATACACATAACAGACTTTCATAACTGAACTGATTAACTTTAAAAAATTAGAACTCTTGGCCGGGCGCAGTGGCTCACGCCTGTAATCCCAGCACTTTGAGAGGCCGAGGCGGGTGGATCACGATGTCAAGAGATCGAGACCATCCTGGTCAACGTGGCGAAACCCCGTCCCTTCTAAAAATACAAAACATTAGCTGGGCATGGTGGCACGTGCCTGTAATCCCAGCTACTCAGGAGGCTGAGGTAGGAGAATTGCCTGAACCCAGGAGGCGGAGGTTGCGGTGAGCCGAGATCGTGCCATTGCACTCCAGCCTGGGTAACAAGAGCGAAACTCCGTCTCAAAAAAAAAAAAAAAAAAAAAAGAGTACGTTTTTTGTTTGTTTTGTTTTTGTTTTTGAGCCTTGTCACCCAGGCTGCAGTGCAATAGCAGGATCTCGGCTCACTATAACCTCTGCCTTCTGGGTTCAGTCGAGTCTCCTGCCTTAGCCTGCCGAGTAGTTTAAACTACAGGCAAGCGCCACCATGCCTGGCTGATTTTTGTATTTTTAGTAGACAGGAGGTTTCACCATGTTGGCCAGGCTGGTCTCTAACTCCTGACCTCAGGTGACCTACTCACTTCAGCCTCCCAAGGTCCTGGGAGTAAAGGCATGAGCCACCATGCCTGGCCTATAAAGCAAGTTTACAAAGATATGTCTTGATTTTTTTCAGTTTAAGCATTTTTTTCTTTTTTCTTTCTTTCTTTCTTTTTTTTTGAGACGGAGTTTCGCTCTTGTTACCCAGGCTGGAGTGCAATGGCGCGATCTCGGCTCACCGCAACCTCCGCCTCCTGGGTTCAGGCAATTCTCCTGCCTCAGCCTCCTGAGTAGCTGGGATTACAGGCAGGCGCCACCATGCCCAGCTGATTTTTTGTATTTTTAGTAGAGGCGGGGTTTCACCATGTTGACCAGGATGGTCTCGATCTCTTGGCCTCGTGATTCCCAAAGTGCTGGGATTACAGGCTTGAGCCACTGCGCCCGGCCCTCAGTGGGATTTTTAAAAATTTATCTCTCCAGTGGAATTCTTGGAGACTGATATGAGAGAGATTTCCAGGCCGGGCATGGTGGCTCATGCCTGTAATCCAAGCACTTTGGAGGCCAAGGCAGGCAGATCACCTGAGGTCGGGAGTTCAAGACCAGCCTGACCAACATGGTGAAACCCCGTCTTAAAAAAAAAAAAAAAAAAAAAATTAAAAAGAACAAAAAAAAAAAAAGAGAGAGATTTCCAAGGCAAGAGGGGGATCAGCCAAGAGCAGAACAACTGGAGTGGAAAGTTCATAGTGTCCTAAAGCAGGACTGCTTAACTTTAGCACTCATCAGAATCACCCGGGGCTCCTTCTGTCTTCTGGCGAAAATCAAGGGCAGAATTGCCTGGGAGGCTTGTTAAAGAATTGACTGCTGGGCCCCACCCTTTGATTCAGTAGGGCTGGGTGGGAGCTCAGGATTTGCCTATCTAAGTTAACCAGGTGCTTGTTGTAGACAAGCACCTGGTTAACTTTTTTTTTGTTTGTTTGTTTTTTGCCTTTTTGTTTGTTTGTTTGTTTTTAAAGATGGGGTTTCAGCCGGGCGCGGTGGCTCAAGCCTGTAATCCCAGCACTTTGGGAGGCCGAGGCGGGTGGATCACGAGGTCGAGAGATCGAGACCATCCTGGTCAACATGGTGAAACCCCGTCTCTACTAAAAATACAAAAAATTAGCTGGGCATGGTGGCTCATGCCTGTAATCCCAGCTACTCAGGAGGCTGAGGCAGGAGAATTGCCTGAACCCAGGAGGCGGAGGTTGCGGTGAGCCAAGATCGCGCCATTGCACTCCAGCCTGGGTAACAAGAGCGAAACTCCGTCTCAAAAAAAAAAAAAAAAAAAAAGATGGGGTTTCACCATGTTGGTCAGGCTGGTCTTGAACTCCCGACCTCAGGTGATCTGCTTGCCTTGGCCTCCAAAGTGCTTGGATTACAGGCGTGAGCCACTGCGCCAGGCCGAAAATATTTGTTTTGTTTGTTTTTTGAGACAGAGTTTCGCTCTTGTTACCCAGGCTGGAGTGCAATGGCGCCATCGGCTCACCGCAACCTCCGCCTCCTGGGTAGCTGGGATTACAGGCACGTGCCACCATGCCCAGCTAATGTTTTGTATTTTTAGTAGAGACGGGGTTTCACCATGTTGACCAGGATGGTCTGGATCTCTTAACCTCGTGATCCACCCATCTCGGCCTCCCAAAGTGCTGGGATTACAGGCTTGAGCCACCGCGCCCAGCCCAAAAATATTTCTTAATCATGACTTCAATTTTTGCTTTTTACCAAACACAAGATTGCCTTTGACTATTTTCTCCTGGTTTCCACCTAAAGAGAGAACGGAGAAGGGTGCATATTTGAATAAGAACGGAGAAGATGAGAAGGCCGCTGGAGACTTGTTCTTCCACCTCCTGCAGACAATCAGTGGTTTAATGTTGGTGTGCTTTGCTACAATTTACAAGCATTTTCTTGTGGGGAGGGAGTAGCAGTTTGTAAGTTCAGTTAATTTCAGCTGCTCAGAAATGTCAGGCACTGCGAAATTTATAGTTTAGAAAACGAACAAATCAGTAATACATGTCCCTCAAATATGCTGTTTAAGTGTTCATAACAGATACTTGTTCATTTTTCCTCTCTTCTTCCTTAGTAGCAGCAAAGGTTTAAGACGATTTAGATAAGGAAAACTTTTAAGAAAACTTTCTCAATTACCTTCATTGGGAGTTTCTGGGCAGTCGTGGGGGTGGGGGTTGGTAAAAACTGCCATTCTCTCTGCACTAGAACACTTAAGCCCAGTTCAGAAAACAGAAGCCATCTCCACGAGTAGAGTTTGGGAAAAAAGAAACAAGAAGAAAAAAGCAACTTGAACGTAAGGCAGCCTTAGAGGGAGAGCGCCACAAGAGAGGCTTTTTATACATTTTCTGGCAGATATGACGTAGACATTATTTTAATGCAAATCAGATGAAGAACTACCCTACCAGTCTAAACTACAGCCATTAGCCTTTAATCATTTGGATCCTTTAATCCTCTAATCATGGGATCATTAACATTCAAATATCCTGGAAAGTTGGCTTGACTGTGTTTTAAGAGGAAGCCGAACCTGTATCTTAGGTCGGTTTAGGTCGGCTCTGCCACCATTCCCTGGAGCTCTGGTTTTCAGCTTCTCTCCAGGCTACCTTGTAGCGATTAGAATTTGCCGGTCATCAGTTTCTGTGGGGTTTCAAAGATCCGGGAGAAGCTTAGTGTTGTGTCAAGACGAAAATGGACCCAACACAGAAGTTTAATCTGACCTTAAAGTCTTCACAAGTGGTCACCGAAGAAACTTACCCGGACGATGCAGGTAAGTTAACGCCTTTCCTGACTATACGAGTATGGGGTGGTGGGGAAGTCAAAAGGGGCGTCCTTTTTTAAAAAAAGTATGTTTACTTCGGCCTTTGCAAGAGGAATGTATCTAAGTAAACCTCAAATCAGAGGGACTGCAGCTTCCTCCAGGAAGGAGACACAGAGGTCAGAGACTATTAAAAGGGGTGGTGGGGTGAGAGTTGTATCCTTTTATTCACTGTGCTTAGGAGTACTTCAGATTTTTCTTCTGTTTTTTTTTGAGACAGAGTTTTACTCTTTTCGCCCAGGCTGGAGTGCAGTGGTGATCCGCCCGCCTCAGCCCCCCGAAGTGCTGGGATTACAGGCGTGAGCCACTGCGCCCCGCCAGTGCTTTTTTTTTCCATTCTTTTTTTTTTTTTTTTTTTTTTTTTTTTTTTTTGAGACGGAGTTTCGCTCTTGTTACCCAGGCTGGAGTGCAATGGCGCGATCTCGGCTCACCGCAACCTCTGCCTCCTGGGTTCAGGCAATTCTCCTGCCTCAGGCTCCTGAGTAGCTGGGATTACAGGCACACGCCACCATGCCCAGCTAATTTTTAGCATTTTTAGTAGAGACGGGGTTTCACCATGTTGACCAGGATGGTCTCGATCTCTTGACCTCGTGATCCACCCGCCTCGGCCTCCCAAACTGCTGAAATTACAGGCGTGAGCCACCGCGCCCGGCCCATTCTTTCTTTTTTAAAGATGGGGTTTCACCATGATGGCCAGGCTGGTCTTGAACACCTGACCTCAGTGATCCACCCACCTCGGCCTCCCAAAGTGCTGGGATTACAGGCGTGAGCCACCGCGCCCGGCCCGCCAGTACTTTTATTTTTTTGAGACATGGGTACCGCCGTGTTGTTGCCCAGGCTGGTATCGAGCACCGGGGTTCAGGCCATCCTGTTGCGTAGCTGGGACTGCCTGCGCCACCGCCTCTGGGCGCTAAGGCAACATTTTTGAGACTGGCCTTCCAGCTAAATGTACCCTTCGGGAAGGTTGATAAACGAGACTAACCCGGCTTTAGGCTTTACCCGGGAAATGGAAGGGCGAGGCCGTAAATGTAAATGTGCTCTGTAATGTAAATTAGCAGCAGGAGCTACACCGGAGGGCGGCTGGCCTAGAAATTGCTTGGGTAGACCGGGCGCGGTGGCTCCCGCGGGCCATCCCAGCACTTTGGGAGCCTGAGGCGGCTGGATCAGGACGAGGTCAGCGGTTCGAGACCACGCTGGCCAACATGGTGAAACCGCGTCTCTCTCTATTTTTTAAATTTTTATTTATTTATTTATTTATTTTATTTTATTTATTATTTTTTGAGACGGAGTTTCGCTCTTGTTACCCAGGCTGGAGTGCAATGGCGCAATCTCGGCTCACCGCAACCTCCGCCTCCCGGGTTCAGGCAATTCTCCTGCCTCAGCCTCCTGAGTAGCTGGGATTACAGGCACGTGCCACCATGCCCAGCTAATTTTTTGTATTTTTAGTAGAGACGGGGTTTCACCATGTTGACCAGGATGGTCTCGATCTCTTGACCTCGTGATCCACCCGCCTCGGCCTCCCAAAGTGCTGGGATTACAGGCTTGAGCCACCGAGCCCGGCCACCCTGAGAAATTTCCCACAGTCCCTTGTTCACCTGCTTAAAGGCAGACTTAGCTGCAGTATGAATGTTGAGGATCTCCTTAATGCAGTGGCTTTTAACCTTCTCTTTCAGGGGCCTCTCAACACTTTTCAGAGACATTGATAAAGCACCTTAGTAAGCTGACTCTCAACACCAGTACTGAATTCCCTTCCTCTGTACCAGAGGGTTCACTGCGTCAGCAGTCTGCGGAAGAAGCATTCCTCAGGGAAATCGAAGACGAGTTGCCTTACAGCAGGAAAAGAGTAAGAACGTTGCTGTCTGTGAACAGAGAAAGGCTGGCGAGACTCAGATACACGCTACTTGACAGAAGTCCTAGGGTATGTTGATGTAATGTGGGTGGGGCTCCCCAATTCCAGGGAGTCACACTTAGAAATTAGGACCTAATTAAGACTCCCCAGCTCTAGGCCAGTGGCTGCCTCCTGTAATCCCAGCACTTTGGAAGGCTGATGTGGGAGGAATCACGTTCAGGAGGTCGAGACCAGCCTAGGCAACATAAAATATTAATAAAAATTGGCCGGGCGCGGTGGCTCACGCCTGTAATCCTAGCACTTTGGGAGGCCAAGGTGGGTGGATCCCCTGAGGTCAGGAGTTCAAGACCAGCCTGGCCAACATGGTGAAACCCCATCTCTACTGAAAAAAAATACAAAAATTAGCTGGGCATGGTGGCGCGTGCCTGTAGTCCCAGCTACTCGGGAGGCTGAGGCAGGAGAATTGCTTGAATCCGGGAGGCGGAGGTTGCAGTGAGCCGAGATCGCACCACTGCACTCCAGTCTGGCGCCTGGCGAGAGAGCGGGACTCTGTCTCAAAACAAAAGAAAACAAAACAAAAATAATAAAAATTAGCCATCTCCACACAAAAAAAAAAAAATTAGCCAGGTGTAGTGGTGCATGCCTGTAAGTCCCAGCTGCTGGTGCAGGTGACTGAGGGCTGAGGCAGCTAGATGGCTTGAGCCTGGGAGGTTGAGCCTGCGATGAGTCATGAGTGCTCCACTGCACTCCACCCTGGGCAGCAGAGAAAGGCCCTGTCTCAGTAACAAACTCCCCAGCTTCTCTCCCTTGTATATATATGTGTAATATTAGTAATATTTTTCTTGATAGAGTTTTCAATAAACATTTTTTTTTCTTTCCAAAGCAGCCTGAAAGGACACTAACGAACACTGGGCTTAAGGGAGTTAAGGTAAATATAATTTTTTTTCTTTTTTTTTTTGGAGACGGAGTTTCACTCTTGTTACCCAGGCTGGAGTGCAATGGCGCGATCTCAGCTCACCGCAACTTCCGACTCCTGGGTTCAGGCAATTCTCCTGCCTCAGCCTCCTGAGTAGCTGGGATTACAGGCACGTGCCACCATGCCCAGCTAATTTTTGTATTTTTAGTAGAGACGGGGTTTCACCATGTTGACCAGGATGGTCTCCATGTCTTGACCTCGAGATCCACCCGCCTCGGCCTCCCAAAGTGCCGGGATTACAGGCTGAGCCACCACCCCCAGCCCAATTTTGCTTTTTGCTTTACATGTAGTTGTGTGTCTGGTAGTTTCCTTTTGTCTTTTTAGAGATGAGGAATAGAGAATTTTCTTGGACTTTCTGAATCCCTAGGAACTCTGAAGGAGGCAGTTCATGTTTGTACGTGGTGGCACATGCCTATAATCCCAGCACTTTGGGTGGCCGAGGTGGGCGGATCTCCTGATCTCAAACTCTCCTGGGGAGTTTGAGACCAGCCTCACCAACATGGAGAAACCCTGTCTCTACTAAATACAAAATTAGCCGGACATAGTGGCACATGCCTGTAATCTCAGGTACTCAGGAGGCTGAGGCAGGAGAATCACTCGAACCCGGGAGGTGGAGGTTTCAGTGAGCTGAGATCGTGCCACTGCACTCCAGCCTGGGTGACAGAGTGAAACTCTGTCTAAGGGAAAAATACATATGTATTTTTAGAGCAGTTTTATGTTCATAGCAAAATTGAAGAGAAAGTAGAGTTCCAGTATATGCCCTTCTCCCATACATGCCACCTCTACCAATCAATATCACACATAGTTTACACTAGGGGTCACTCTTGGGTGTTAGGTTGATACTTTCTCTTTTTCTTTTAATTAATTAATTTAATTTATTTATTTTATTTGTTTATTTTTTTTATTTTTCATTTATTTTTTTTTTTGAGACGGAGTTTCGCTCTTGTTACCCAGGCTGGAGTGCAATGGCGCGATCTCGGCTCACCGCAACCTCCGCGTCCTGGGTTCAGGCAATTCTCCTGCCTCAGCCTCCTGAGTAGCTGGGATTACAGGCACGCACCACCATGCCCAGCTAACTTTTTGTATTTTTAGTAGAGACGGGGTTTCACCATGTTGACCAGGTTGGTCTTGATCTCTCGACCTTGTGATCCACCTGCCTCGGCCTCCCAAAGTGCTGGGATTACAGGCTTGAGCCACCGCGCCCAGCCTTATTTTTTTTTTTTTTTGAGACGGAGTTTCGCTCTTGTTACCCAGGCTGGAGTGCAATGGCGTGATCTCGGCTCACCGCAACCTCCGCCTCCTGGGCTCAGGCAATTCTCCTGCCTCAGCCTCCTGAGTAGCTGGGACTACAGGCACGCGCCACCATGCCCAGCTAATTCTTTGTATTTTTAGTAGAGACGGGGTTTCACCATGTTGACCAGGATGGTCTCGATCTCTTGACCTCGTGATACACCCGCCTTGGCCTCCCAAAGTGCTGAGATCATAGGCTTGAGCCACCGCGCCCAGCCAATTTTTTTTTTTTTTTAAATAAGACGGAGTTTCACCATGTTGGTCAGCCTGGTCTTGAACTCCCGACCTCAGGTGATCCACCCACCTTGGCCTCCAAAGTGCTTGGATTACAGGCGTGAGCCACTGCGCCTGGCCAGTTGATACTTTTTCACATGCTGTTACAAACATCTTCACAGTAGCCTGTATAATAAGAGAACACTTCAGCAGCGGAATGGGTTGCATTTAAGGCATTCGGAGAACTGAGACTACTGATGTTTTCTTGACAAGCCGCACTTGTCACCACTACAGACTGACCCTCAAGCTGCCATTCCGTAGTACCCATATTCCCATCCTCCCGCTATTTTTCTCCTAAAATGTTTCACTCTTGGTCCCTGTGCCCTTTTTGTGTGTTCCCTGTTCCAACATTGACCTAAACAAACATTCTATTTGAGGGTTTATTACATTTCTCTTGGGTACAATATTCCACTTAATTCATTTCATCTTGTTTTCAGGATGCATTAAGAAGAAAAAGGTTCATATGTCCCTGCAGTTTCTGCGAGTCTAGCGGATGGGATCCTTCTGAGAATGCTAGAATCGGGAATTACGACACCAAGCCGCTTCAGCCATAAACCTTATTCTTGCCTGTTTTTTTTTCTTGCTGGTAATTTTATATAGCAGACCGAGAAAGCTACTCTCTGCTCGTATGGATTATACACCAGTAATTTTGATAATGAGTTCGAGGTTGTATTTTTCTTGTATCTTTTTCCCTACTGTGACGCTAGTAATTTATAAGGGATCTGCGTAGTTTGAATATATTTGGATAACTTTAGCTCTACTGTTTGATTTGACCCAAAGAAGCCAAGAGCATATAGATATTCCCATGTGTTTTAGAAGCCCAAAGTCAGTGAGGTGAAACCCAGCAACAAGAAATTGAAGCAAAGATACTTGTGGATAAAGGAAGCATTAGCTAGTTTGGTTAGAGCATAATAATTAGATTTTCTGGCTTTGAAAAATTTGGGTTGCAATAAGAGCGAAGTTTATCCAGTTTTTACAGTTTTCAGTACAAAAAGGTGTTACTATAGAAACAATAAAGTTGACATTTGATTACCTTTAAAAAATTGTTTTTGATTTTATACTTGTTACTGCCAACAGGTGAACAATAGTTTTATCATTACATTCCTAGAATGTGTACGTATATGGCATTCTAATATTTGGTGATATATTCCCACTGGGAAGAAACTTCATTGTACATTTGAGTGATTGGAAAGTACAGGCACAGATATTCGCAATTATCAACTTCCCATAAGACGTGAAAATTGGAAGGTGGAACAGAAGTGGAGCTTACTGAGTTGTGATGGGAAATATGCAGGGGTCCTCATACCAACCAAGGAAGGAATTCCTGTTTCCTGTTTTGAGACAGTTTCTTCTTGTCGCCCAGGCTGGAGTGCAACGGCACGATCTTGGCTCACTGCAACCTCTGCCTCCTGGGTTCAAGCGATTCTCCTGCGGCAGCCTCCTGAGACCTGGAATTACAGGCACCTGCCACCACGCCTGGCTAATTTGTGTAGTGTTAGTAGAGACAGAGTTTTGCCATGTTGACCAGGCTGGACTTGAATTCCTGAGTTCGGCACCTGCCCACCTCCCAAAGTGCTGGGATTACAGGTGTAAAGCCACCACACCTGGCCTCCAAGCAAGCACTTCTGCGGTAGATACCAGATGGGTGTCTAATTTGATTTTAGCACTATCTACTGGGAGGTAGCTCCAGATCCTACACATTGAAGGCTGTCCCACAAGACTGTCCACCTCTAACACCAGTCACAAGCTTCAGGTTGTCTTAACCTGTGCTTTTGACCGACCAGCTGTAAGTCGGGATTCTCTCAACCCTTTGCTTGATTTGCTCTGCTGGCTCATAGAACTCAGGGAAACACCTTAGTTATTCTGAAGGATATTACAAAGGATACAGATGAATAACAGGTGGAAGAGATGTGTAGGACCAGATAAAAGGAAAAAAGGCAGGCAGGATGAACCGCCCTTGGGTGTGTGCAGCTGTCCAGAAGCCCTCAGAACTCACTCCTTTTGTGTTTTTGCAGAAGCGTCCTCTCTTGCCCAGGCTGGGAGTGTAGTGAGGCTTCACTCACTGCAAACTCCATCTCCCAGGCTGAAGCAGTCCTCCGGCCTCAGCCTCCTAAGTAGCTGGAACTACAGGCTTGAGCGACTACGCTCGGCTAATTTTTTTTTTTTTTTTTTTTGAGACGGAGTTTCGCTCTCGTTACCCAGGCTGGAGTGCAATGGCGCGATCTCAGCTTACCGCAACCACTGCCTCCTGGGCTCAGGCAATTCTCCTGCCTCAGCCTCCTAAGTAGCTGGGATTACAGGCACGCGCCACCATGCCCAGCTAGTTTTTTGTATTTTTAGTAGAGACAGGGTTTCACTATGTTGACCAAGATGGTCTCGATCTCTCGACCTCGTGATCCACCCGCCTCGGCCTCCCAAAGTGCTGGGATTACAGGCTTGAGCCACCGAGCCCGGCCTAATTTTTTTTTTTTTGAGAGAGAGTTTCGCTCTCGTTACCCAGGCTGGAGTGCAATGGTGCGATCTCAGCTCACCGCAACCTCTGCCTCCTGGGTTCAGGCAATTCTGCCTCAGCCTCCTGAGTAACTGGGATTACAGGCACGCGCCACCATGCCCAGCTAACTTTTTGTATTTTTAGTAGAGATGGGGTTTCACCATGTTGACCAGGATGGTCTCGATCTCTTGACCTCGCGATCCACCCACCTCGGCCTCCCAAAGTGCTGGGATTACAGGCTTGAGCCACCGCGCCCGGCCTACTTTAAACTGTTTTAAAAAAAAAATTTTCAAACTAGCTGGGCACAGTGGCTCACGCCTGTAATCCCAGCACTTTGGGAGGCTGAGGCAGGTGGATCACAAGGTCAGGAGTTCGAGACCAGCCTGGCCAAAATGTTGAAACCCCGTCTCTACTAAAAATACAAAAATTAGCTGGGCATGGTGGCACGCGCCTGTAATCTCAGCTACTCAGGAGGCTGAGGCAGGAGAATCGCTTGAACCTGGGAGGCGGAGGTTGCATTGAGTCGAGATAGTGCCATTGCAAGCCAGCCTGGGTGACAGAGTGAGCCTCTGTCTCAGAGAAAAAAAAAAAAAAAAATTCAAATTACATAAAGTTGCAAGCTTAAGCCCATAAACCTGTGTGTACATTTTACTTAGATACGATAATTGTTAGCATTAGCCACATTTCACTTAACATTCTATTTTTTCTCTTTTTAAACAGATATTCAAGAATGATTTCAGGTATTATAACACTTCGTCCCAAAATAGTTTGTGTTTTCTTAGAACAAGAACATTGACTTATAACACCAAAGTAGAATGATGAAATTCAAGAAATTTATGGTCAAATGTGGTGACTCATGCCTGTAATCCCAGTACTTTCAGTGGCGGAAGCCAGAGGTTTTCTTGAGGCTAGGAGTTTGAGACTCCCCTGGGCAATATAGTGAGATCCTGGTCTCCACAAAAAATAAAAAATAAATTTGCCAGATGTAGTGCTGGGGAAAGGGGGAAGATGTGGAAGAGGTAGGAAGTGGGGAAGGGGTAAGAAGGGATAGGAAGCGGGGAAATGGGGTAGAGGAGCCTAGGAGTTCAAAAGACAACTTATTTTTATTGCAGTAAAAGACATTTATAAATGTCTTTTCTATAGGCTAGGCCTGATGGCTGATACCTGTAATCCTAGCACTTTGGGAGGCCATGGAGGAAGGATCAGTTGGGCTGAGGAGTTTGAGACCAGCCTGGGCAATATGGTAAGACCCTGTCTCTCTCTTTTTTTTTTGAAATGGAGTTTCACTCTTGTTACCCAGGCTGGAGTGTAATGGCATGATCTCAGCTCAATGCAATCTCCATCTCTTGGGTTCAAGTGATTCTCATTGCCTCAGCCTCCCGAGTAGCTGGGACTACAGGCGTGTGCCACCGTGCCAACTAATTTTTTTGTTGGCGGGGAGTGGAGTCTTGCTCTGTCGCCCAGGGTGGAGTACAGTGGCACCATCTCAGCTCACTGCAAGCTCTGCCTCCAAGGTTCAAACAATTCTCCCTGCCTCAGCCTCTCCAGTAGCTGGGATTATAGGCATGCACCACCACGCCGGGCTAATTTTGTAATTTGGGTAGAGACGGGGTTTCACCATGTTGGTCAGACTGGTCTGGAACTCCAGACTTCAGGTAATCCGTCTGCCTTGTCCTCCCAAAGTGCCGGGGTTACAGGTGTGAGCCACTGTACCCAGCAGACTCTTCTATATAACATACAATTCAGTTTGGTTGTATAATAGAACCAGAGAATGTTTTCTTTCAGTGGATGTTTATTTATTTATTTTAGAAATAAGAATCTCACTCTGTTGCCTATCTGAGTGCAGTGGCTCAATCAGCTCATGAAATCCCCCCACCTCTCCTAAGCATCTTAGCTAATCATTGGGTGATTTTGTCTCATTTACATTTCATCCTATGTTAGCTCTGTCTGTATATTTCTTCAAACATTTAGAAAGACTCTTTTTCCAGGTGGTAACTTTTTTTTTTGAAGGCAATTTTATAATTTTATTTGATGTATTTGACTAATCAGAGATTAATTCTCATCCACATTGACTGTAGATTTTTGAAAGTGGTAACAGGTACATAGGTAACCAAAGTATAGAGGCTTATTTGGTGAATCTTCATCCTCATGACGTTTTCTGGACAACCGCACACGGATTTGGTATGGGACATTCCTCATTCCTTTGGCCCAGACAGCTTTGTTGAGCCGGGTATCAGTGCGCACATCCGGAGTTCCCATCTCCTTCATGGCAAATTTCCGAATCTCTTTGGGGGCCTGAGGGGCCCCTTCTTGAGGCCCACTCCATGGATGCCCTTATGAATGCTGATGGTGTATTCTCGGGTCACCGCTTCGTTCATGGCGGAACAGCTTTTTCTTCTCGCTGCCCTTCTTTGTGGGAGCCATTCTGCCGGGTCCAAGTTGGAAAGCTCCAGGTGCTAACAGTTATAATCTAAACCTCATACTACTTTTTTTTTTTTTTTTTTTTTTTTGAGACGGAGTTTCGCTCTTGTTACCCAGCCTGGAGTGCAATGGCGCGATCTCGGCTCACCGCAACCTCCGCCTCCTGGGCTCAGGCAATTCTCCTGCCTCAGCCTCCTGAGTAGCTGGGATTACAGGCATGCACCACCACGCCCAGCTAATTTTTTGTATTTTTAGTAGAGACAGGGTTTCACCATGTTGACCAGGATGGTCTCGATCTCTCGACCTTGTGATCCACCCACCTCGGCCTCCCAAAGTGCTGGGATTACAGGCTTGAGCCACCGCGCCCGGCCCTTCAGTTTTCTTCTAATTTTAATTAGTTATGTATCTTTTAGTGTTCAGCTTTTCAGTATTAAAGTTTAAGTGCATTTGTCAGGTTTAAATTTAAAATTTTGTTTTTCTTCCTTTTTTTTCTTTTCTTTTTTTTTTTTTGAGACAGAGTCTCTCTCTGTCACCCAGGCTGGAGTGCAATGCAATGGCAGGATCTTGGCTCACTGCAACCTCTGGCTCCTGGGTTCAAGTGATTCTCCTGCCTCAGGCTCCCTCATAGCTGGGATTACAGGT